ATCATCATCATCATCATCATCATCATCATCATCATCATCATCATCATCATCATCATCCCCCTCGTCCTGACCGTCGCGTCCCAGGCTTGACTCGCAGCCTCCCTCGAGGATCCAGGGCAGCAGCTTTTCTCGCGTCGTCTGCGGCATGTCAGAGCCTCGCGCAGCTTCAAGTCCTCATGCCCCCGGGTAGGTCGTTGACTCGAGCACCACCAGCTGCCCAGCCCTCCTAGCAGCTGTCGGCGGAATCAGGACAAGGTAAAGGACAAGGTAAAGGACAAGGACAAGGACAAGGACAAGGTAAAGGACAAGGACAAGGACAAGGACAAGGTAAAGGACAAGGACAAAGACAAAGACAAGGACAAGGACAAGGACAAGAGTCTTCCAACCTGCGATGGATCTTCCGCAAGATTCGATGTATCTGATGCCAGTCACACAACGAGAAACTCTCCCTCCTCTCCTCTCCTCTCCTCTCCTCTCCTCTCCTCTCCTCTCCTCTCCTCTCCTCTCCTCTCCTCTCCTCTCCTCTCCTTCCTTCCCTCCCTCCTCTCCTCCCCTTACCGCAAGTCAGGCTCAAAATTTTCTCCCAGAGGCGTTGGTACGCAGATAAGGATGGCGTCGACCTGGGCAGCGAGTGAGGGAGGAGGGAGACAAGAAAGAGCGATGCAAGGAGAGACGATGCAAGACAAGAGGCAGCGAAGAAGTGCAAGGAGAGACGATGCAAGACAAGAGGCAGCGAAGAAGTGCGAGGAGGAAGAGGAGGGAGATGAGGAAAGCAGGGCAAGGGAAGATGAAGAGGAGGAGATGAGGAAGCAGGCAAGGGAAGATGGAGAGGAGGGGGAGGAGGAGGGAGGGGAAGACCTGCTTCAGACGCGACATGTCCGATGTCGCATGAAACTTCTCGCTGTCCGACAGCTGCTGAAACAATTCTGCGAGCCCGTCAAGGCAATCACCAATCTCCTTCCTTCCTCCCTCCATCCATCCATCCATCCTCTCCCTCCTCTCCCTCCTCTCCCTCCCTCCTCTCCCTCCCTCCCTCCCTCATGCCTGTGGAGTTGGGAAGATGCTCTAGGTAGCTCTGCCCTCGCTCAAGGGCGGATATGACCTGAGGTGACTTGTGAAAGGCGCACGCAGACAGAAGACGAGCAGGAGGAGCAGGAGCAGGAGGAGGAGCGGGAGAGCCTTACCTCTAGGTCAGCATCGAAACCAATCGTGAAGTAACCAGCACTAGGGCAGCAACGTGTCAAAGAGACGGGAGAGGAGCGAGAAGAGACAAGGACGCTGAACAGTGGGAGAAGGGAAGAGCAAAGGAGACCTATGGAAAGTGCTTGCCAGAGGCAGACCCACATAACCTAGTCCGATGACTCCAACGACTGATGACGGTCAGCGAGTTCAGTGGAGAGGAGGAAGGAGATATCACCTGCTGTTCGTCGTCGGATCTTGTCGAGCAGCTGTTGATACTCCTGCGAGAAACCTTGTCTGTCCATGTCGAACTCCATCCACTCTTCTTCTATGGGCCTTCCGTTCGCATCCTTCAATCCTGTAAGGATCACCACAGATTCATGCACAATCTCCCTCATTCTCAATCCCATTGAACTCCTGTCCTTCTTCTCCCTCCCTCCCTCCCTCCCTCCCTCACTCCCTCACTCACTCCCTTACTCCCTCAGTCACTCACTCACTCACTCAATGAGGGGGGTCTCTCTCTCCCTCACTGGGGGGAGGTAGTTACT